GGTTCGTGGTGAAAAACCTCAAAAAGTATTTTATGGTTTGTTGTTTTGATGTTTGGGCCATTGGTCGTCGGCCTCTCCCCGCGCCCCTGCCGCCAGGGGCGCGCGCGGCATGCTGGCCTCCAGCCTGCGCTGCCATGGTCGGAGGAGCCCCCGGCGCAGCAGGCCCGTCGAGGCAACTGCAGCTGCCTTGCTCGACGCGGACACCAATGATGCTGAGCTTGTCGAGGCGGATCCCCGTCCTTGTCGGCGCGTCCGGCGAGCATGGATAGGCAGGGCCCCCCTGGAAGGGGCAGGTCCAACTCGAATGTGGTTCTCGGGCCAGTGCCTCAGACAGAAGTACCCGTAGTTGTATATCCAAGCTGCCGCAGGCTGCTGCGTGGGCCCCAGCTTGCGAAACCACGAAGAGGAACCTGTCAACTGCGCGCTCCTTTGTGCCATGCCCGTGTGCATACGTCATGAGCAAGCTGCGCGCTGTTCTGCATGCGGCCTTGGAGCTGTCAAGCGAATCTGGGCCGCTGCAACTCCTGCCTCGAGCGGGCCTCGCGCCTGTCCTGGAAGGCGAACAGGTCGTCATTAGTGAGCCCTTCATGCAAGTAGTGGATCGATCGCTGGGCCCACCGTCGCACATGCACTTCCAGCCGAGGTGCAGGGGCGACTTCCTTCGCCCCTGCTGCAGCACAATGGTGACCTCGATGTCCATGAGTACGCGGTCTACCAGCCGCTGGGGCAACAAGGGTGACCCATATCCCCCTGGAGCACTTGGCGCGGTGGCTTCTTCTCGCCCTCAATGGACCCAGTGGGCGCACCGCTCCACAAGGTCACTCTCGAAGACGCGGGGCAGCAAGAGGTCGTGGATTGTGCCCTTTTTCGGCGCGCCCGACAGGGCCGTTGACGCAGAGCAGAAAATGCGCGCCCATGCATGCCAGCGGCTGCAACCGAAGGTAGCCCCAGCGCGCCGATCCCACGGGCGCTCTCCAGAGGGCAAAGGGGCACCATGCCTCATATCCCAACCATCTTCCCATTGCCAGCCCCATTCTGGCTGCGAGGAGGTCGGGCGCGTAACTGCCCCGGCTTAGGCGTCCGCATTCACGTGCGCATTCGACAGAATCGACGCCAAACCTGAATACTGAAAATTGTAGCTGCTGCATCCGAGGCACGTGCTACCCCTGCTGCGGCGTTTCAGCCGACGTCCTCGTAGCCGCCAGCTTCTCTGTGGCAATCTGGATGAACGAGAGGGGCGCGCGGCTAGGCTTGGCACCCTTCGTCGATGCACCTGCCACTCCAGGAGGTGCACCAGCTGCTCCATCGGGTCCTCTTGATTCAGCAGCGGCTGGTTGCGCTGGCTCCTCTGGAGCCTGAACAGCTTGGGCATCTGTCGCTGTCTGTCCGCCATGTGCACGGGGGCTCGTCTGTGTTCCTCTCGTTGGCGGCAAAACGTTCCTTCTTCTCAGAGTGTTGCTGCTTGAGCTCATCAGCTTTGGCTCGGACATGGCCAAGACCTTCCTTGGTCATCTCTCGAAACTTTTGTGTAAGGCCACTTTCCTTTATTGAGCCTCCTCGCGGTATTCAGCAGATACCAACTCGCCCAGGTCGTCCAGTCCGAACCACCCTCCGTCGTCCAAGTCAGTGGTTTTGCCATCAAGGATGGCGGCCAGGTCCAACTTTTAATCTGACTGGGGGAGTGTGCTTTGTGGTCGGTCTGGCTGGTGCCCACACTTTCGGCAAATTTTTGAACAGCTTGTTTGTAGAAAACCCCGGCGCAATCCACAATCTCCGAGCACTCCTGGACCTGCCCCTGGGCATCGAAGCGCTGGGTCTCGACCTTCTCACATTAGGCAATGGCTCGGCGGGGGGACGCCCAGCTTGCTTCATTTGTCCTTTGCCTGGCCCACAGTGACGTTCTCAATGGCCTGCTGCTGGATGAGTTTGTCCAGCTTCTCTTGGTACTTGTTTGCGGAGGTGTCGTCTCCATTCTCTCTGAGCGGCTTAATGAGTTCGGCCAGCCGTCTCTGCTCAGTACTGGCGCCACTTGGATTGGGACATTCGGAGTCTGACAGGACGAAATGTTCAGCGCCAGGGCAATCACCGTCAGCGAAGGAGACACTGGGCGTCCGTCGAACAGCGCCTGCTGGGCCGGCCGAGTCGGGGACTTCTGTTTGGAGGTTGCTACGTTCACGCCGTGGGGCACCCCGAAGTCGCCCAGCTGATGGCCCAGAAGAACGACCAGGCCCACGAGGCCGAATGGCAACCATCTGCATACCGTCCGAGAGAGGAGCCTTGCAAGTCTTGCACCATTTCCACCCGCGCTCATTCTTGGCACATCCGCACTGGCTGCACTTGGTAAAGCCGACATCCTGTCCTGGTGTGACCGCCCGCGGACCATGGCCTGGGGTGCACGTACATGGCTGCGGGCACAATGAGCGGGGACGCACACAAACAGACATCGCGCTGGCAAGAAAAACGCCCACGACCGCACGAGGGCTCGTCGTGGAGATCGTGAAAGGGAATAGCATGCTGTGGGGCAGTTCGCCTCGAGCCAGTCCCTTTGGCACCAGGCAAGTACGAAGCCGCATGGCCACGGTTTCGTACTTGAGCCAAAATGGCTGCGGACCTTCTCCTCCCCCTCCTCCTCTTCCTCGTCCTCCTCATCCTCCTCCTCCCCCTCCCTCTCCTCAATTCCTTCTCCTTATGCATAACTTCCCCCTGTCGCACCCCGAGGCCAGTTTTTAGGGCAGGCTGGGCGTTTCGCCTGAAACTCCCTCGCCATCTTTGACCCTGAAATTTCAAAAGTGGCAACAGCTTCGCACATGAAAGGCGGGTCGCTTTCACAATGTGGATCTCGCTTTCGCGCCGCGCACATTCAATTTAAACATTTGCAAGAGTTTCACAGCTGAGGGCGGGTCGTTTTCAAAATGTGGTCCTCGCCTCAGCGCCGTGTGCACTCGCTTTCACGATGTGCAACCGTTTCACGCATTGAAGGGCTCTCGCCTTAGCGCGGCGCACCTTCGTTTTAAACATGTCCAAGAGCTTCACGGGTTGAGGGCGGGTCGTTTTCGAAATGCGGTTCTCCCCTTAGCGCCGCGCGCATTCGTTTGAATTCTGTACAAGAGCTTCACATATTGAGGGCGGTTTCTTTTTCAAAATGTGGCTCTCGCTTTCGCGCCGCGTACATTCGTTCCAAAAAGTTGCACGGAATGTCACGGAATTCCATGATCAGCGTACCAGAAAGTGTGTTGTGGAACGATTCAGGGTTATGCGGGCGCAACAGTTATGTTGATTCGCGGTGTTGGGAAACGGCGTTCTTGGCACGATTCCAGATCGTCTAGACGCAGCAGACAGGTTGATACGTGTCGTTGAAATCCCAAGAGCAATGCTTTGAAACGCTTCAGGATCTCCAAACGGCCCCTCAATGGAACTGAACCGTTGTAGGGGCCTGCGAAGAGAGAGCTTGGAGGGAGGGGTCTTTCCAACATCGTTGATGACTCTTGGGTTTACACTGGTCCTCCTCCTCCTCCTCCTCAGCCTCCTCCTCCTGCTTCTCCTCCTCCTCCTTCTCCTCCTCCTTCTCTCCCTCTTCCTCCTCCTCTTCCTCCTCTTCCTCCTCCTACCCCTCCTCTTCATCTTCCTCCTCCTCCTCGCGCAATCTGGGCGGGCGCGGGTCTTTCCTCTGAAACTCCTTCTCCTCCTGATCCTGGGCAGGAGCGACCTGTGGTGTGCGGCTTGTTGGGGGACGCGGGGGGCCAAACCTGGGCGCGCAGGCCGCTGCTAATTAGCGTTTCGCGCTCGGCGATCGGTGGACCCCATGGGGCCCGCACCAACAGTTACTCTGGCGAGAGGTCACTGTTACGTGTACCCATCGGTCGGAAGAAGGAGGTAGAAACATGAGTTAGGAAGGCCTTGAAAGTAGATTGGGTGTCCGCCCGCGCCCTAAAGAGGATGGAAAAGGTGAAGCCAATCGATCATTGAAGAACGAAGGCGCTTGACATAGATTGGAATGTGGGACTCCCAAATTGCCTACTGTAAACGACCGATGCGTAATCAGTCGACTCCCCCACATTAAAACGACGCGAAGATCGGGACAAAATCGGATCGGGATAACTCGAAATCTCTGAGAATCGGCGGGTTTGGAGGATGTATTGGGCGCCGCGGCCGCTCCAGAGCGTTCCGGAACGCTCTGAGAGCGCTCTGGAACGCTCTGGAGCGATTTATCCCGATCCTAGCCCTGTTTTACCCACCCTCCTGTGGTCTGGTGCGCAACCGGGAACCCTGCCACGCCCGGGTTGCTGCTGCCCGAATCCGAGCCGTGCCCCCACGCCGCCGACGACACACCAAGCTCGCTCGCTCGCTCCTCCGGCTCCCTTCGCCTCACCAAGGCTCGGCGGATGTCCATTCCCTGTGCACGTTTGGGTGTTGTGCGTGTGTTTTTTCGCGGGAGATGCTCCAATATGCTCATCGATGGCCCTCGCCAAGAATAAGGGCACGAAAAATGACATGAACATAAAACTCGGAGGTTCGCGCGGATTTCTCGGATCGGCGCCGGAACCCCCTCCCTGGCGCGCGGAGCGCGCCAGGGGCGGCGCCGGAGGCGACGCCAAGGGGGCCCAGCGCAGATCCGAGAAATCCGCGCGGACCTCCGAATTATTATGTGTATGTCATTGTTCGTTCTATTGAATATGCTCCTCGATGGCCCTCGCCGAGAAGACATGCACACGCCCCGGCGATGCCAAGAAGATCGTTCGCTCCTCCGCCGCCCCCCTCCGCAGGACACGCCAGGGGGCCGAGGGCCGCAGCTTTGGAGTCCCGAAGCGGTGCGCTGACGGACCGTGTTGTGACCTCGGAATCCCCCAAGACCTCACCGCAAGGTCCGTCACCGCACGGCTTTGGGACCCTGGAGGCCCCTGTCGCCCGAGGCACCCTCGGAGAGGGACTCGGGTCCCCACGCCGTGCGGTGACCCCGAATCCCCACCGACTCACCACACGGTGTGGTCACCACACAGTTTGGGGCCCCCCGAGCAGCGGCGGCGCCCCCCCGCTCCTGGAGGACCGCCGCCCGGAAGCTGCGGGTCTCCGTGGCCGCCTTGGCCAGGGTCATCACGAGGCCGACGAGGGCTGCCAGCGCGCGGCGAGGGGGGAGGAGGAGGGGGAGGAGGGGGAGGAGGGGAGGAGGGGGAGGAGGAGGAGGAGGGGGAGGAGGAGGGGGAGGAGGAGGAGGAGGAGGAGGAGGAGGAGGAGGAGGAGGAGGAGGCTGGAGGAGGCTGGAGGAGGAAGAGAAGGAGGAGGAGGAGGAGGAGGAGGAGGAGGAGGATCGACGAGCCATAGAGGAGACGGTGCCGCCTCCCCCGAAGCCCGCGCGCGCGACCGCGCGCGCGGGCGCACGGGGGTCCTGACGGGGCAGGACCCCCGACCGTGATGACGAGCACGACCATGCCGACGAGCACCACGATGCCCGCGGGAGGGGGAAGGGGCGAGGGCCCTGCACGCGTAGCGGCGAGGCCCCTACCGCCCCCCCCCGCTGCTCCTCCCGCGGCCGGCCGCCCCGGGCCCCGGACCACTACCGCGTGGACCATCACGCGGACGGAGGCCCCCAGCAACCAGGGCCGCGGCGTCGGCGGGGGACATGCCCGCGGCGAAGGCCTCCTCGAGGAACGCCTGCATGCCCGCCGCGCCGCCGCAGCCCGCCGCCGCAGCGGCCACGGCGGCGGCTGGAGGACGCGGGTCCTCCGCCGCCACCGTGTCGGTGCGCCGCAGCTGCCTCCGCGCACGGCGCGGCGGCAGCTCGTCAGCCCACTCGTCGTCGACGACGTCGACGACCATGGGGAGCTGCACGAGCTCGAGGCCAGCAGCGGCGGCGGCACCGTCAGCAGCGCCTCCACGCCCAGCGTCGGCCGCGTTGGCCGCCCCGCCGCGCTCCGCCGCCCGCCGCGCCGCAAGGCGCTGGCGGCGGCGTCGGCGGCGCTCGACCTTCGCGGCGGAGCTGCGCGGGGGCGCATCCGCATCCTCGGCGCGCGCAGCACCAGCGGCGGGCGGCGGCGCGGGTGGCGCGGTCCGCGCACGGAGCGCGACCGCCGCCACAGCGCCAGCCACCGCCGCCACAGTGCGGCGCGGCGCCTTCGCCTCCACAGCGGCGCGGACGGCGGCCGCCAGCAGGGCGACGCCGTCCACCGCAGCCGAGGGGGCCCCTCTAGGCCGAGCCATCGCGCGGGGCGGACGGCGGCGGCCAATGCGATCGCTTGAGCCAAAATGGCCAAAATGGCTACGGAGGAGGAGGAGGAGGAGGAGGAGGAGGAGGGGGAGCAGCAGGAGGAGGAGGAAGAGGAGGAGGGGGATGATGATGATGATGATGATGATGATGATGATGATGATGATGATGATGATGATGATGATGAGGAGGAGGAGGAGGAGGAGGAGGAGGAGGAGGAGGAGGAGGAGGAGGAGGAGGAAGAGGAGGACTGTAGTTGGGGAGGGCCGGGGAAAAGCACGTCCTGTTCCGCTGTGCACCCACCTACCCACCTACCTCTGCGTTTTTCCCGACTCCTATTCCTTTATCCTTCGCGGCCTCCTATAGCTCTTACCTCCTTCCTTGCGAACAGGTGGGGTAAACCAGCTGCAACGCCTAGAGGCGAACACGCATCTCCTCTTTCTCCTCCACCGCCCTTTTTCGCTTCCTTTCCTTTTGCCCTCCTTCCCCCGTCCGTGCCTCAAAGTGTTCGCCTTCTCGCATTACAGGTGAGGCCGTTGCCCTCCTGTGTGTTCTTGTTAGGCGCCCCACTTCTCCACTCAAAGTAGGTGATGCATATGTTCCCTTCTCTGCGTCTCACTTCTCTTCCACCGTTATCGCTTCGTCTTCATGTTCCTGACCTTTTCCATAATGAGCCCCCCTCCCACCAGGGTCCTTGCCAAGTGGGAGGGGCAGGAAGGGTGTGCACGGGTACAGACATCGTCTCGGTCAGCCGTTAGCAGCAGCAGGAGGAGAAGGAGGTGGATGAGGCGGAGGCGGAGGAGGAGGGGGAGCAGAATTCTGGGCAATTGGCTGCCCCGACACGCAGCACGCAACACGTAGCGTATTGACACGGAGCTAACACGTAGAGAAAACGTAGGCCTCACGCGATACCTTCGCTCAAAACATGGTCCAAAACGTTGAGCCAACACGCAACGTCTTGACACATACGCTTTGAGCAACGTACGTGTTGCGTATCAGAACGATCGTATCGAGGCAACCAAGGCTGGGCACAGACTGGGCACGAAACGCACATGGGCACACGGTGTGTGCCACCCGAGTTCGCGAATCGCGCGCCCTGCGATGTGCGATCCTCTCCCCGCCATCGCGCCCCGCGATGCGCGATCCTCTTCGCGCCATCGCGCCCTCGTGCCGCCCCCTCGGAGAAGAGCAACCGCTCTGGCCCAGGCGGCGACGCGCGAAGTACGATGATCTCCGCATCCCCCTACAGGCGACCAAAAGTAGGGTCTTCTGACGTTCTCGGGACTGTCCTCTGGGCGTGTCGGTGCTCCCCTTCCTGGGGACTCGAAGGGATGTGTTGGGCCGTTCCGTGGAGGAGCGCATTTTTGGATTCGCGGCCATAACGGTCGGGGGTTGCTAGAGGTGCCACTGGCCCAAGGCCCATTTTGGAGTCCTTGGGGCCCACTGGGCCTCGGGTGCCCTGGAGGCCGTGGGGGCCTCCTGGGAAATCCTGGGGGCACCTTGGGCCAAGGACACTTAGAGCAACACCCGAAACGGGCATTGTAGGGGGGAGGGCGGGGGTGAGTGGGGCATGACGTAACCCCACCCAGACTGTGGTGCAGGGCGCACTTCAGCAGTGCCAGGGACGCGCTGAGGGGGGATCGTGGCGTTCTGGGGAGGGGGGGGGAGGGGGAGGGGGGGGGGGGCTGCATAACCCGCGTTGTGGCCCACAGGGTAGAGAGACTCTCGAGAGCGGGGGGGGAACCTGAGACAGGAGGGATGGGGGAGGGGTGGAGGCATACCGGGCGTCGGCCGTGCTGCCTCGCTGCGGCGCTGCGCAGGGGCGAGGGCCAGGCTGCGCTGCGACCCGCCCTGCGCCTCCTCCTCCATTGGGCCCTTGGCCATTGGACTGGGCCCTCCCATGTCTCCTCCCCTGCTCCTCCTGCTCCTCCTCCTCCTCCTCCTCCTCCTCCTGCTCCTCTTCCTGTTCTTCCTCCTCCTCCTCGTCCTCCTCTTCCTCCTCATCCTCCTCCGGCTCCTCCTCCTCCTCCTGCTCCTCCCCGTCCTCCTCCTCCTCATCCTCCTCCTCCTCCTGTTCCTCCTCCTCCTGCTCCTCCTCCTCCTCCTGCTCCTCCACCGTCTCAGCCATTGGATTGGGTCCTCTCGGATGAAAAACGGAAAAATGCGGAGAGGGGGGCGGGAGCGGCATGGGGCGGGGAGAGGGAGGTGCATCAGTGTGAGGGAAGAAGATACGCAGGGAAGGGCAGGATCGGGCGGGGGAAGAGAACCGACCGTCGGGGGGGTTGGGGCGGGGGGCGGGGGGGCGGCAGGGGTGACAGGACGCGGGAGGACGCTGAAGGCGGGGATGGAGGGAGGGGAGGGAGAGGGAACGTGATAGGACGGCGGAGAACAAAGGGAAAGGGATGGGGAGGGCGGGCAAGTGTTGGAGGGGTGATGGGTGGGGCGGGAAGCAGGGGGAGGACTGGAGGAGGGAGTAAGGAACCTGATCGGACAAGAACGGGAAGCGCCGCTGTAGTCAAATGGGCGTATTGGGCGAAGAAGAAAAGGAAGGCGAGGACAACGAGGAGTCGATGACGAGGACGTGGCGAACGTGATGATAGCGAGGAGAAAGAAAAGCACAAGGACGAGGACGAAGAGAACGAGGGCGAGTACGAGGTGGAATGCGGAGGGCGATGCTAACGACGACGACGACGGCGACAGAGGACAGTACGAGGCAATTGGAAAAAGACGTTGCTCTTGGCGCCGCGCGGGGTTATGTTGGGGCCTGTTGGGGGCTTCTTGGGGGCCCCTGGGGTCCTCTTATGGGCTTCTGGGGTCTTCTTGGGCTGCCTGGGCGCGTCGTGGGGTTTTGTGGGAGCTTTCTTAGGCCGTCTCGGCGCTGGGGGCCTCCTGGGGCACTCCCGTGAATCTCTTGGGGCCTTCTTGGCCCTTCTCGGGCCGTCTTGGGGTTCTTGTGAGGTCTGGGTGGCTCCTCAAGCGCTCTTGGGCGCTCCTGGGGCTCTCCAGGGCGTCTTTTGGGCCTCCCTTGGTCCGTTGGCAAGGGCCGATGTTTGGAGGATGTTTCGAACGAAACTGCAATTTTTCAGACATCCGCCAGCGCAATTTCCAAGTGCGCCCCGCACCCCGTCATTAATAATTTCTACCACCAACAAACGGTCCACGCCAAGGGCGCTTCCCGTCATCCGCCGAACCTGTCGGCGTGCGTGGACGGCTTATCTGCTCGAGGCGTCGGTTCCGCCGTCCCTTTTCACTGCGCCCTCCTCCTCATGCTCGTCAGCAAAAGACAATCCGCCGACACCTTGGGGTTTCCTCGGCGTGTGAGATGTTCCCCCTCCCCTACCCCTCCCCGAGGCCCGGCCCGGTCGGTGTGGAGGGGGTGGGGGGCGGGGGGCATGGGGGGCCCAATTGACAGTGGCACCCCGCAGTCAACGGATCAAGGGAGAAGGGCCGCGGGGGGCCCATTTATTTGACAGTGGGCCCCACTGTCAACGGACCCATTGCGCGCGGGCCGAGCGCGTCACGGGGGGGGGGGCCTGGACGCCCGTTTGACAAAAGGCCCCACTGTTAAACGGGCTCGGAACGGGCGGTCGGGAGGGGGGGCGGCCCGGGGGGGCCACTTGACAGCGGGCCCCGCTGTCGACGGGCTCACAGTGCGCGGTTGCCCAGGGGGGGGGGTCTTGGTTGCCCACTTGCGACGGATGCCTTGAGACCCCCACGAAGCTCCAAAAGAGCTCCAAGAAGCCGCCAACAGGCGCACCAGAGGGCCTCAGGAGCAGCACGCAACACAGTCGCCAGTTCCCCAAGGGGTCGGCGGTGTGGCGTAAGCCCAAGAATCCACGTCCGGAGGTGACGTGCTGAGCGGCAGCGTTTTTTCGGCGAACGCCATAATGCAACGCGTCCAATGAATCCA